GTAATACTTTCAGTTAAGAGAACACTAAATCAAATAAGAGAAGATTCTTCTGTTTTTGTCTGATTTAGAAGGAAAGTGGCCTTGGGTGGCCTAAATACAGTTCTAGTGGAACAGAGTTTTTGTCCGTTCGAAGGCCCATCAGAGGACTGAGTCCAAGATAGTTCCTTGATAATTTTGACCCGAGGTGACCCCTACAGTCAATAAGTCTCCAGCTGACCCTCAAACATTAACCAGATGGGGTGAGATGGCGTCAACCGGGTCTTCTCAGGACCCTTGGGTGGCACAACAGGGTCCCCTCAGAAATTTCTATTTTTTCTCTTGTTTTAATCAGTTCCTGGTTCCCTGCAGGTCAGGACCTGAAGCTACACCTGATGTCTTGTGTGTCAGAATGGACGAGCAGGTTTTACAGGTCAGTGTGTTTTGATCCACAGCCTGTCTAATTACAGGGGTTAGAAAATGAAACTGAAACCCCTGGTTTGAGACCAGAACATCCCTTTCAGACAGCTTCCTCTTGCGTCCACAGTTAATCCTGTTGGATGTGGTTGGTCCTTCTTGGTGGTATGCTGACATTACCCTGGATACTGTGGCTCTTGATACATCACAAAGACTTGCCGTCTTGGTCACAGATGCACCAGCAAGACGTGAACCAACAATTTGTCCTCTTTTGAACTCTGGTATGTCACCCATAATGTTGTGTGCATTGCAATATTTTGAGCCAATCTGTGCTCTTACCCTGCTAATTGTGCCTTTACACTCTGCTCTTACTGGTGCAATGTGCAATTAATGAAGACTGACCACCAGGCTGGTCCAGTTTAGCCATGAAACCTCCCACACTAAAATGACAGGTGTTTCAGTTTCATTGTCTAACCCCTGTATTTTAGGACCTGAAACAAAAAAAAGTCAGAAACCACACAACAATGCCAGGACCAGGGGCAAACAGGACCAGTTAAATCTAAATCAAATCTGAGATTTCAAATCTATTTGTTTTGAGATGCATCACAGTGGACCAGGACTAGAATCATTGCTTTTTTTAAATAATTTGAATAAAACAACAATACAATATGAGTAAAAGCTTTAGTTTCATGGAAGTCGACCCTGGTGCCCCTGCTAGAAGACTACAGGAACTACACTATTGGGCAAATTGTTACACACATGACAACAGATGCACTGATCGAGTGTAACAGTGTTAGAAATCAGGTTTTCCTTAGTAATAGGAAGTAGTAGCTTTGCTGTGCTGAGATACTGATCACACAGCTGAGGAATTTCCAACTGACAGCTGTTTAGCTTGCTCTGCTGCAGTGGTCCCCAAACTATGGCCTGCGGGCCGAATCCGGCCCGCCTCCCCATTTGGTCCGGCCCCCAGAACAATACCAGAGAGCACTTAGTTTTTTTTTTTCATATATGTGTATTTATATTTGATTATAAAGCTGGACTTTTGCAATAAAATGTTCCTTAGTTATGAACTATTTTCATTATTAACTATTATTAGTTAGTAACTATTTCATACATACACACATATAACGTGACATTCTGTTCCACCCTTCTGCGGTCTGTGCCCCTATCTGGCAAC